AATTTTTTGCTTTCTAGCTAGAATTTGATGTTTTCATGACAATATTTGTATTATTTTGTTATCACTTTTGAGATGAAAGAGATATATTCAATTAGTATTTATCAAAATCATTAATAGTACAATTGACCTTTGGCCCTCGGTTCAATATTTCACTATATTGCCCGCAGAAATGATGTTATTTGTATTATTTCCACCGTTAATGACCAGGACTGGAACAGCAAGAAAACCTTACTCACTGAACGATATCTAATTTCCCAGGGAAAATTGCCGGTCAAGAATTGTATTCTATAGAGGGATAAGTTAAAATAGCACTGTCACTGGTAGAGGGAGAAGAAGTTAAAGAGGCACCGTCAGTTCGTACTGTTATTGTACATGCAATCATTTTCATAAATATATGGGAGACAAGATTCGTTTTAGATTCTGACTCTGACATTAAAGGTGTAATTTGTTGATTACTAGTATATGACAAAATTGATATTTCATTGAATGGGAAAAGTCAGTTAGTTAGATTTAGAAGTGGAAATCCCCAAAATTGCTGATTAGTTCACAAAGATATTGAACATAACTGTAATAATTGTATTTGTTCATGTATATAATATAAGTATCCATTCAGAAAAATAGAAAATTAGGTTTAGATTCTTGTCTCACTCATATATTTGGCCCTTTTCTTATATGAAATTCATAGTTTCCCAGAATCACACAGTATTTTGTATTTGATTCAGATGTGGGTGATCCCTTCACTCTTCACGCTGTAATATTTCAGTGTTTGTGATTAGAAGAAATTTTGCTAAACAATAGCTTCTACATTTTTGAATTAAATGTTCAAAGAATAGTTGATATCAAAGGCTCTCAATCATACTTATTACATAATGTATCTCTAAAATTGCCCTGCACTTCAACCACAGCTTTATAATTTCTCTTGTACGTATTTCACGCATCATGCTAAGTTTAAATAGTCAAATTAATGCAATAAAAAGAAAAAAAGTTGAAAAGTCAAATGCTTTTATTTTCCAATTGACAAGAACTATAATTATTAATCTCAAAAGACTATAGTTTTTATAATTTAAGTTTTCTCTCCAACAGCCTGGTCCTAATGAAGGTGTCACTCCAAGGAGACGTCAATCCAGGCGTCAGTCTATGATATCTGATCTCAACATAATACAGGTCCATATCACCAGCATGTCACCTATATGATTGTAGATTGTATCTTAGAAGCATTTACTGTTAATTATAGTTGCATAATTTAAATGCAATTGATTTTACGTCATTATGTCACCATCAAAAAATGGTAACGTTTGTTAAAGCCACCAAATTTCTGAAACTGGCATTCAGCTGTCAATGTCTGTAACCAAATGCCATAACAGTGTCTGTAACAGATTGTTACAGTTTTGTTACCAAATGCCATAACAGTGTCTGTAACAGATTGTTACAGTTTTGTTACCAAATGCCATAACAGTGTCTGTAACAGATTGTTACAGTTTTGTTACCAAATGCCATAACAGTGTCTGTAACAGATTGTTACATTTTTTTGTTAATTAAGACAGAGCTGTCAAGTGTCCCGCGAATGGCGGGATTATCCCGCGAATTTGACCAAAATTTGGCTAATTCGCGTGTCCCACAATGTCCCGCGAAGTCCCGCAAATGTCGGCTTTGACCGCCGCAAATTTTCAAAATTGTAACAATCCCCGAGGCTAAATAATTGTGATTATCTTGTGATATAATAAGCTTAAGCTTTTTGCACTTTTGAGGAGTCAAGTTTACCTAATTTGAAAAGTGCTGCCGAACTCCCAGTGCATCAGATCATCGAAGACTGCTTTTGGAAAGAGCATATAGTACATTTATAAAACTGTGATTTTGATCCAAATAACACCCTAGTTGGCTTCTCAAGTACCCAGTATGCTGTTTGGTATCAAAATAATGAGGAAGAGTGCAATTTTCATCTTAATTATGGAAATAGGGATGTATGTCATGATTAGTTCCAACGTTGGCCTTTTTACTACGCGTGTCACGGCCTTCATCTCAGAACTGAACAAATGTTAGCAAACGCGAGTTCCAATAAATGGACACTGATATCTCGAAAAGAAACCTGACTCCCTATGATTTGATATAGAATAATCGAACCCCTATATGAATAGTTACATTTTGATATATAACACTATGGGGGGTAAATGTTTCATAGTTGATCACGAACGCCATAAGTGCAAAGTATTGACAAGAATTTTTGAATTTCGTGTTGGATTACGGTACTCACACCTAAAGCGTGGTTTTTTGATAGTTTAATAATAGTTCTATGCGTATTGTGTGGAATTGTGTTGACGTTTACGTTAGTGCATTACATTTGATAAATCAGTATCTGAAAGTTTGATTTGTGTAATTTTACATTAGCCCCAATCACGTAAATCCCTTGAATGTCCTGTGACATCACGCAAATTTAGGTGGATGTCCCGCAAAATCCAGCGAATTTAGGGCACTTTGTCTAAAAAATTATCTCTCTATGAAGTCTTTGGTGGTTACCCTGTTAACTGCCCCGCAAGTAGCGTGTTTGTCCCTCGAATGGTCCAGCGAAATCCCGCGAATTTAGGTGGATGTCCCGCAAAATCCCGCGAATTTTTGGCACTGGGTCTAAAAAATCTGTCCCGCGAGAAAATCTTTGGGGGTTGACAGTACTGTTAAGACCTTGTTTTGTAGTTATAATTCATTGGGTGGAGAGTTTTCGATTAATTCACTTAGAAAAATCCTCTCATTTGGAATGACATTTGGCAACCAACACATTAAAATCCCAATGAATGAAGCCCCCATCTTATACAGAACATAGGTGTAAGCCTTGTCCCCTCCCCATCACATCACCTAGAGTGATTGCACAATTAAGATTTATAATCAAGGACTTGTAAGAAATGTCCATATTATATTGAATGATCTCACTTAGAAAGTACATGTATTGGGTGTTCACTGACATGTGTGTCAAGAGTCCTCAAATGTGGTAGTTAGATAGAAAGCTCTTCTAAATAAGCAACAACTCATGGATTTTGAGACCCTGAAAATATTTTATTTTTAGATGTGCTATCCCATACTTGTAGAATGTAGTACCAATGCATCTATACTTGTTCAGTACAGTACAGAACAGTGTGTAGAGTATGTTACAGTGCAAGTATGGTAGAGTACAGTGCATTGCAGTACAATACAGTATAGTACAATACAGTTCAGTACAATACAGTACAGTACAGTTCAGTACAGTGCAGTACAGTGCAATGCCTTACTTCCATCTGTAAACAAATATATGTTTCAACTTGCAAGACCAGAAAGATTATCACCCTTATACATCAAGACATCGAGTTCCTTTTCTACCCAAGGCTCAGTGCAACACTTCAAATGTTTTGATTGGCTCATATTGATCTGCATGGTATGATATTATTTCAGACTCAACCACCAGGAACGACTGCGTCATCCCGTCGTTCTGCCATGAAAAGTGTGCAGCATGATGATGAGGTGACCCAATTGTGACATCATCAAAACCCAGCGCTTCTTAGAATTACCCACCCAGCTCACTCTGTTATACTATTGGTTACCTGGGCTACAAGTCAAGGTTATATTGTTGTCTGGGTAACCAGTAACTGAGTGGGGGTTTTATAGGGGGTATTTTCCTTGATTTTAGGGCGTGTGAATCTTATCCTGCAGGATGCCAAAACCGTAGATGTTTGGTCGATGGAAAGATGGCCGTGTTGTTTACTGAAGTCTTTTTATATCTTCTGAAAAAGGACTAATTACACTGGTATCTTTCTATCGATGAATCCCCTTTGCCCAAAATATCAACAAATTAATCCACATGTACGGAGGTCATTCATCATATAATTTATCCTAAATGAAAGATTAAAATGAACTCCTTGAGTTGAGTTGAATTTTTTTTCTCTTCCATCATTTGCAAGAGATATTCAGTAGATGCAAGACAGACTTAGGATGAGGAGACATAGTTAATGGAAATTTAAGTACAAAGTACACCTATATGAATGGCCACTGTAGTGATACCTTAGTGACATTTGATCTACTGCAACTGTACGGGGTGTACGTGTAGCTTCCCATAATCGAGAGAAATATGCAGGATAAATGTTTAGGGATAAGCAGTACAAAGTAGATTTTCTACATCGATTTTGTGAAGCTACGGCTACTATACAGCTGCCATAGAGAAAATGTGACTGAGGCTTAGGGAACAATATCCATAAATACAAGTACAGGTTTATCAAATCCCAATTTCTATATGCTTCTACTACCATTACATTTGTCTGATTTAATTGAGTTTGTGCTGAAATTGCTTGCTCAGATGCTGCTGTATCTGTGAAAGATGAATCCTAAATAGTCAGAATTTATTCAAATTTTGCTTGGTTCATAAATGATTTAATTCAACTGAGCCATTCAAAAATTGAATTTCTCCCGGCTGTTACGAGGGGTTTATATAGTTTATCACATATGTTTAGATTAAGAACATGTTGCAACATGCGTAACAGCAAAAACTATTCTTGAAAACTATATGCACCATGCTTTTTTGTGTTTTTGCACCAAATTTCTTGGATTTTACTTTTTATTTCTTTAATCATTATCAAATACTTCAAAAATAAAACTTTCATTAAGATTGAAATAAAATTTTACTATTCATTCAAGTTTTAGGGAGAAACTGATATTTTAGCATAAAATTATTTCAAATTATATTTTTACACATTCAATGTACTTATAAATATTATCATGTTATTTTTCACCCTGTACATAACAAGTGTGACCAACTCATTTTATCATCGTGATCATTACAGTGACTGATCTAGAAATAATTTTATTACAAAAATCATGAATCACCCTGTGTATTACAGCTATCTGGAACTCATACTTATATTTTGTACAACCCTGTCATCTGGAATTTATTACTAAAATTATGTATCACCCTGTAGATTACAGACATCTGTAACTCATGTATTATATTCCATGTACTTATATTAAATATCATTTCATTACAGGCCTCTGCAATGATGAAGCCAGCAGACTCTGCCAGTGAAGCAGATGGACAGCCTCAGAATGTTGAAGGTCAACAATACGTGGAGGCAAAGTCCTATATCATGCTAGAAATAGACCTATTACAACCTTTAGTACATAAACGCCCACCAGAGGAGCTTGCACAGAGAGTTGCTGAATACATACCACCAAGACCACTCTTCCCAAAGCGTACCAATGGCGCAGAAAAGGTTAGCATGTAAACCTGCTTCAAAAACCTGATTTAAGAAGTTACAATTTGTTCATTGGTAGTTAGTTCATTTGTAAGTCTGAGGAGCTGCCATTCACTGGTGTTGTACTTAAAGGTTATGTAAATATTGTGAAATATGCCTGAGTTCTGCCATTATTGGATGACCTTGAGAGGCTCTATATTTGGGCAAGAAGGAAAGCATATTTCAAGTTATAGTGACATAGTCATAGTGCATTACATACCTTTATTCTCATGGCAACTTTGTGTTTTATAGGTTGTGGAGGATTTGTACATCGAGTATATTTTCTTTTATAGGCAGTGGAAGATTATCACAATCAGATAGCTTCAGTTGCAGATCTGGTCTTAGAGGAATTCAGGTAAAAATTAAAGGAGTCTCTTGGATAATTAGGGTATTGTCATGCAGTCCTGCCACCTTTAATGAATTAAGAGGTAGTTGGTTGAATTATCCCATTAAACATACTTTCAATTTTACAGCTTTTGGTTGACAAAGGTTAATGCAATAGAACTGGACAAAGACCATTTTGCTAGATAATGGATTATAATTATCCCAACGAACGAAGTTCGTTAGGGATATAGTGAAGCCCTCCGTCCGTCTGTCCGTCAGTCAGTCAGTCAGTCAGTCAGTCAGTCAGTCAGTCAGTCCGTCCGTCTGTCCGGAAGATAACTCAAATACTAGTTGACAGATTTTCTTCATATTTAGTGGAAAGATGTATATTGGTGAATAGTTTTACGCAAAAAAAAAATTTTTCAAGATGGCCGCCGCTTTAAAAATGACGGAACTTTTTCGCAAAAATCATAAATTTTTCATTCTAAACCAAAGTAATTAATATTATTGTTTGAAATTTTGGTAGTGTATTCACAACATTTATTTCACATATATTCCGCGTTTTTCATCCTGACCCCCAGGGGCCATGTATGGGGGAACAGGAAAACAGAAATTTTCGCTAATTTTTAGATCTTTCTGAAGTATAGCTTTATTATACTCAAATGAAAGGCAATTAAGAGTAGATTGCAAATATTGTATCTTTTTTCTGATTCGAGCCTCGTAAAATTCAAAATGGCCGTCTAATGTACGATTTCGCAATAATTTTTCGATCCCTTCAAAGTATGGCTATATTATACTCAAATTGAAGGAATTTTGGAGTAGATCACAATTATGGTATTATTTTTCAGATTTGTACCTCAGAAAATTCAAAATGGCTGCTTTGCAGGAATTCGCAATTCTAAAATCTAATTTTTTCATTTTCAACCAAAGTAATGAGTATAATTGATTGGAATTCGGTAATTAATATTTTGTTCGTTGGGATTTGCTACTCCGCGGAGTTGCCGTTATTTTTATCTTTGAAATGTGACAATATTTTGGAATAAAATATGCATACACCATTAAGAAATTTAACGAAGAAGATGCATGTACTGGTGAATAACAAGATGTTTTTAACACCTCTACAAATTATTGTTTTTATTTGAGTTGTGTGCGGTTTGGAGTCGCTTGATCACTACTTTAACCCAATATGTTATATCAATTATTGGGTTTACATGATTTCAACATAATTCTTACAGACACATTAGTTAATCTATCTCAATTTAATACTATATTCTTATACCGAAGGGGTCCCTATCGCTAAGATATATATTACAATAGACAATATATTCTATATATGTTTTTACTTACTTTAGTTGCAGTACATTAACCTGTTCATTACTTTGGTTGGTGCTGGGGAGGCTGGTGGGCTTTCCATGCTATGAGTTCACAAACTGATTCCCGCCAATGTAGTCACGTGACATTTCATCCTTATAGCATGGTCTATATAAATTAACTCACCTATGCACTTGTGCCATCTATACATCACTTACGGGATAGATTTAACTGTATGAATATCTAGTGATCTGAGGCAACTCCAAAACACATAAATATTTATATTTCATATAAGTCATATGTCTTATTTTTTACATGTAATCATATGTGTCATTTAAAGTACAGTTATAAAAAATGTCTGCAGTACCTGGGAGTTAGTCTATATATACTGAACAAAAACACATGAGTTTTTGCAAATGCTTGTCTATCTGGTGAATATTGGGGTATGGTAATATTATGATGTTTTTTAGCCTACCCTGAATATAACCTTAAAGACGCAATTTGAAAATATGGTTAAATTATGTAATTTCAGGGAATCATTTGGTGATGAACTTAGGGCAGGTAATGCCCCACTGACAACTGACTCAATGGAGGCAAGGTAGGGCTGAATCAGTCATAAAGTGGACACAACACATAAAAAAATAATGATAATTCTTTAACATGATTATACTTAGGTGGTTCAAAAAGTTTTGCAGTTGATTCCATAACTTCAAGGAAAATAAGACTTTTACAATGAAACTTGGTATACATATGTGTTATACATTTATACATTATATGTCAAAATTTGGGACCTCAATTTTGATTGGTTCAGTGGAGCAAAAGGAAGCGCGTCTTGCAGCATCTAGGTTTTGCAGTTGATGCCATAACTTCAGGGAAAATAGGACTTGTACAATGAAACTTGGTATACATATGTGTTATACATTTATACATTATATGTCAAAATTTGGGACCTCAATTTTGATTGGTTCTTGAGATATGGTTGCTATGGTAACAAGAGTGGTGGATACCATGTTCAACCCGAAATTATGTTTTTCCAAATAGTTTTCTTGCTTGAATGAACTCTTGTAAAGTGGCAATTAGCAGGTGTAAGTGTCTTTGGGTGGCTATTTTTCTTCAAATTCTTCAATTTTTCCAATTGTCTCTATGACATCACAATAGACAAGTGACACGATAAGTTCCTTTGTGATGTATACTGTCCAAAACCCAGTTGAAAAATTGAGATTGAAAAGTGAGGAAATTTTGAATTTTTTTCCAAAATTTTCAAAATGGCAGATGTTTCCACACCAACCAAATTGATGAAATGGAAGCATAGAAATCTGATACAGTGCATGGTTCAAAATGGCAAGACTTTCAGGGAGCATTTGGAAATGATGCCAAAACGTATCCAGAAATTGCCTAGATGCTGCAAGACGTGCTTCCTTTTGCTCCACTGTGAGGAACTTTGGAACCCACTTTGCTGCAACATACCGCTTTTTCAAGATCTTTGTGACAATTGTATGGCAGGACGCCTTAGATATATCCAGTAAATCACTTATTTCCTCTAATGAAATATGTCTGTCCTTTGAATTTGAAGAAAAATAGCCACCCAAAGACACTTACACCTGCTAATTGCCACTTTACAAGAGTTCATTCAAGCAAGAAAACTATTTGGAAAAACATAATTTCGGGTTGAACATGGTACCAACCACTCTGGTTACCATAGCAATCATATCTCAAGAACCAATCAAAATTGAGGTCCCAAATTTTGACATATAATGTATAAATGTATAACACATATGTATACCAAGTTTCATTGTAAAAGTCCTATTTTCCCTGAAGTTATGGCATCAACTGCAAAACCTAGATGCTGCAAGACGCGCTTCCTTTTGCTCCACTGTGAGGAACTTTGGAACCCACTTTGCTGCAACATACCGCTTTTTCAAGATCTTTGTGACAATTGTATGGCAGGACGCCTTAGATATATCCAGTAAATCACTTATTTCCTCTAATGAAATATGTCTGTCCTTTGAATTTGAAGAAAAATAGCCACCCAAAGACACTTACACCTGCTAATTGCCACTTTACAAGAGTTAATTCAAGCAAGAAAACTATTTGGAAAAACGTAATTTCGGGTTGAACATGGTACCCACCACTCTGGTTACCATAGCAATCATATCTCAAGAACCAATCAAAATTGAGGTCCCAAATTTTGACATATAATGTATAAATATATAACACATATGTATACCAAGTTTCATTGTAAAAGTCCTATTTTCCTTGAAGTTATGGCATCAACTGCAAAACTTTTTGAACCATCCAAGTACATAATAAAACACTATACATTAATATCTCTTTCAAATTGAAAAATGAAAATGCTTGAAAGTGTTATTTGGAAATGGTCTCAACATAACTTACTGTCAGAATACTCCAAAATGCCATGTTGGTTATTTTCCAATAGGTGGCTATACTGACTTTTACATCTTTACATCAGCTTACGATTTAAATTTTTCATTTTAGACGCCAAGGGCTCCTGTACTCTCTCAATGCAAGTGGTAAATATTTTGCATTCAAAGAGAGGCTGAAACATTCAGTCGTCAAGATAGTTCGTGAAAAATATCTTAGAACGACAAGCTTTGAAGACAAAGATCAACTACAGGTAAAATATCTTTGTTATTATGAAGACACTTGATTTGTTTTTAAATTAGTTTTTACTTACATGTAATTTCAAATTGTTAAATGTAAATTATCTCGTTATATATTGTATATATTGTTATATTTTAAATCTATAGAGTTCTATTTGTAAATGCCCCTACATGTTTTTTTTGATTGATGAGAAGAATCTCTAATGCTTTCAACTCTTGAGGTTGTATTCTTCATGGTTCAAGTATGATTCATTGAAAGATAATAATTTTAATGTGGTTCTTGATCTGTATTCGTTTGCTAACAAATTGTAATGTGATATCGTCATTTTTAGTTGATGAAAATGGGAGGGTGTTCGGCGGTTAAAGCCCCTTGGCCAAAAATTCTTTCAAAAGCATGCAGTTTTTCACCATTCTGAGCATTTTCAGTGATTTTGGGCCAAAGTTGTCAAATGTGAACCCACCTTGAACTTTTCGAAAAGTGAACCCCCCTTGACAAAAGCTGGCAATGAGCCTGAATGTTGTGTTTGTTTACATCTGCAGGCTTTCCTGAGTGAGTTATATGTCTACCTGGTGGATCAGATGCATGTTGGTCTTGGGAAGGTGTTGTCTATAGAAGACCAGACTCCAGTACCAGAGCCACTCACTGACTCTGCTCAACTTAAACACTTTGCCAGGGAAGCTGAAGTGAATGAAAACTTTGAACTTGCTGCCAAATATTATCAAGAGGTTTGTTTAAAATTTCTGGACAATCTAGTTTTAACTATATGTTGTATTTTATTGTATTTACCATGTAGAAAGGAGATCAATACCTCTTGAGTATTGAGAATATTTCCTATATATTTATGGGCATATTTCATGTGTATGTAACCATAATCAATGCAGGGCAGTTTTCCCCCACTTTCCATTTGAAGAACTTGCTAACATTTCTAGAATCATAGAGAGGTTAAGTCAGTGCTGAGCTTTTATTGCATATTGGTAGTGCTCTAGTAATTGTCTAGACAGTAGTACAAACACACTTATCCTCAAGAAAGCTTTTATCAAATGTTCTCACAGAAAAATGTTGAGGTTACATGTGTAAACAAGGGTGAAACACAGATGTCTGAACATAGTTAATTTCAATCTGAGGCCATTGATTATACAGCATTTATAGGAAAATAATATAACAATTGTATATAACCTGATAATAACTGGGTAGGTAGTATTTTAGTTTTGGCCATGTTATCTTTACAATACTGTGTGATTCAGATAGCACTAGTTCCAAGGATGTTAATCAAAATCATTATTTTGTTTGACTTTAAATTGTTTCATGTCTGTAATTCCAATATAGAATATTTCTCTCTATCTTGCCGGAAGGAGAATTGATGCATAGTTTATAGTCTTGCTTCAAGACTGTGGACCTCCCCTCCCCCTTATCTACTTCACCAACACAACACAGTCTTGTAATCACAGTCTAGATAGAAGTGCCAGGCCCATAGCCAGGGGGGTTCGCAGGGTTCGGGCGAACCCCCCCCTGGCCAAAAATTCTTTCAAAATCATGCATCTTTTGACCATTTTGAGCGCTTCTCAAGTGATTCTAGCCATATTCGGGCCAAAATTGTCAAATGTGAACTCCCCCTGGAAGTTTTTGAAAACTGAACCCCCTTGGCAAATCCTGGCTACGGGCCTGGGTGCTACCCTCGAGATCTACGAAAGTGGAAATACATTAGTTTGGTTCATTAATTGCTCACGAGAGCTTGGAGCTAAACTACATGGTTTATAATTTTTTCAGAGAATTGCTAGGACGAGGAATGATCCGGAACATTGGTTTGACTATGGTACATTCTGTTTGTATATCAATGACATCACAAAGGCAGAGGAATGCTTTAAGGAATGTGTCTCCATCAACCAAAAACATCTTAATGGGTGAGAAATTCTTACTTTATATATGTAAACACAAGTGCCATTGAACTATAGTGTATGTATGTATTGGGTAATCAAAGTTATTAAAGAAATGAATTCGAAAGTAAAGCTAGAACAGTAAGAAAAGAAGAAAAATCTACAAGGAAATCAGGGCACCTTGAAAAATTGGACTTTTACATTAATGCACAGAGAAATAGTGTCAAATACTGTAAAAGCCCAAATATTCGCCAACCAAAATTTTTGCACTGAAGAACCCTTGAATTAATTTGCATGCCCTTAAATTTGCATATCTTAGACCAGTGAACAGACCAGATAGACAGAAAATAAATTTAAATTTATGTAGAATCTAAATACTAGAACCAAAGTATACACTGGTTTTAACATTCATACATGTATGTATGAGTATTAGTTAAAAATGACTAAATGTTATTATTTTCTCCAGTTTACTGCTGTATGGTGTTGTCTGTGCAATGCAGGATCAAAACGAGGCTGCGGAGACATTCTTTGAGGCAGCAACGTGCGTTGACCCCCAGTGTATTCTAGCTTGGGTGATGCTTGGTATGACATTCATTATTTCAGTTCTTAGCATGTACACTATAACTACAATTTGAAACCTAGATTTAAACTGTATTTGGTCTTTCTATTTAATAAGCTGGCATGCATGTTTTCAGGTTGTGGAACAGAATTCTCTTTATCTCTAGCCTGAGTATCTTTATCTTAAATAAAAATGTTTTTAAACATTCTTTTTTACATTCACAAAATATGCTTATATTATAAGCATTTCTGGCGACCTGATTGATTAATCAGATCTAGCATTCTCAGGATAACTCATGGATGGAATGATACATCAAATTCAATTCTGATTTTGTAGGTTTATTCTATGATGGAGTTTGTAATGAGATTGGTGCAGAGATGGCTTTCCTAGAAGCAAACAAACTAAATGTACAGGTCACTAGACAGTTGATGGAAGATGAGAAACAGAAGGAGAGAGAATTACATGAGAAAGAAGAGGACAAGCTACTAATGGATGCTGCAAGAGGTATAAAAATACACATACAGTACATGTCATACCACTATGATATATTACCAGATATGTACCGTTTATGATTTTCAATTCAACCATGGCTTTATAGTTACAGGTCGTTCAATAGGTAAAGCCAATTTTGCAAGAGGTATAAAAATACACATACATACCATATATGGTATATTACCAGATATGTATATATGATTTTCAATTCAACCATATAAAATTTTTATTTTGCAATATCTATAGCCCAAATTTCCACATGAGTAACATGGTAAATTTCACTAAATTTCACATTTTTGATGTACCTGGATCACAAATTGCCATTTTTAGTCTGCATTCATTTATTTTGGAAACTTGTTGGAAACAATTTTCAAATCTCACATATTTTTTATTAAAAAGATGAATATTAAAACATTTTTATTTCTTAAGATGCCCATGGTGATGCTTTAGCTGTTCCATCAGTTAAGAACACCCCTGCCACTCCCAGTGGGTTAGAATCAAAACAGAATTCCATGACCAGCAAATCACAGATGCTAAAGAAGGGACAACAGAAAAAACCTGGTAAGATAGATGAATATTCACATTAAAATATAAGCAATCTCGATTTAGGCTATACCTTTCTTGCTTCTATGAAACCAATTTTTTCTTGGATACTTTTTCAAGTAGCTTTAACATTTGTATGAAATTAGTATCTTGTCATTCTTAGAGCCTCACTTAAAAAAATTGTCTGAAACATGTTTATTTGAGAGCAGATGTTTGGGAACTTTTGAACAAACTCATGAAGGGTACTGAGTGCAAATGTATTGTATTTGCCATGTGTATGTAATATTATGAAATAAGTTATAACTTACTGCAGTAAACCCTATACATCCAAACACCTCTATTATTTGAACACCTCTAAAACACTTTTTTGGTTTCATATTTTAATCTGCCATAGATTTTCATGCATGTTAAAGTTAGTTTTCGGCTGGTTGAAGTATTGTTGAGACTAGACAGGTTTTACTGTATAGTAAGCTTTATCATATTAAAACTTTTATCGTAATGTTAACATTACTTCCAGGAGTCTCATCATCTCAGAACAAAAGCATGGAAAGTGTTGCATCTATGAGGCCTGGTAGTCAGACAAGAGGCTCACAAAGGGGTACACCTATGCCTGAGCCAGAAGAGATTGATGAACCTCCCCCACGAGAGCCCACTCCAGTGCCAACCAGTACTGTCTTCATGCAAGCTATTGAGTGGCTCCTGGAGGTCAAGGCAATGCCAGTAAGCAAACAACAAAATGATTTCAAAATAGACTAGATTGCAAGTAGGATTTAATTTGATATTCGTCATTAAATGTTCAAAATTTAGTCAAGGTGATATGATATTTTGCAAGAAATGTGGGTTTGGATATTGTTTATCAACCTTGATATTTTAGTTTTCTTTGAAAATGTGACTTCTAGGTCGGGTAAACTTCTCATAGGGCCTATGTTATAAAATCATGAAAAGTGAAATATCTTGTCTTGTACTAAACAGATAATATATTCTTTTTTCTGGACATATTTAAATGGTGAAATGCTATGATAGTAACATCTTATTGAAAGGTGGGACATTGGGTAACATCTCATGGAATCTTGGAATGTTGTTCAATCTGTGTTTTTGTTGTAGTTTACCGAGAGGGCACTGGCGCATGAACTTTTAGAGCCAAATGGTGGACCAGGCGCCATCTATCATATAGCCTATGCGAGGTTGAAGCTACAGAAGAAAGAAATGGAAGAAGCCGAATTGAGCCTTAAAGAAGCATTACAGTTTGATCACCAGGTATTTTTGCTCTGCATATTAACTACAGAAATACTTAACTATTCAAATACTTTACAATCCAAAACATATCTCAAAAAAGATTCATGTAACTTGTGAGATAATGAGTTTAATGTTTATAATCTTGTTTTCTCCAGAACCCGGATGCATGGGCAATTATGGGACATGTGAAGTATCTGGTTGGAGACTCTATGGCAGCTAAGGACTGCTATGAAAGAACATTATCATTCATCGGGGACGCCTCAGAGATGCACTCCATCTATCTGCGCCTTGCATCAATTTATCTACAGGAAGGAAAGGTACATGCATGTTGCATACTAGATATAGTATCTCATGATGGTTAATACAGGAAAATTAGTCCAGCTTAAGTTGTTACAAATTGTTATTTTATTATACAGCCACTGTTTTTTGACCAGCGTTCCGCATCTGCTTTTTTATTGCCATAATAATATTTATTTACATAAACACATTAAAGTACATCACTGTACTTTAACACATGAAAGTACTTCATACTTATATTGCTTCACCTATATGATAATACATTGTATTTTCTTTACAATTTCCTAATGGATATCTGTATCTGCGTTTTACACCAGCATAGTTGTTACAATATTATGAGATTACATTCTTGAATGCTATATATAATTTTTCACAAGGAAAACTTTGATTTCCACAGTTATTTTATGTTCTATTCCAAAGTTCTCCGTCAAATAAATGATGGAAATTAAACCTACATGTAGACTGCTGCCACTTACATATGCTTTCAGTTTCACTTATTTTTTCAATATTCTTTTTTCAGTTCCAAGAGGCCAAGAACTGTTTCCTTATGGCATGTAAGAAATCTCCGTCTTGTGTGTCATGGGTTGGGGTTGGAATTGCATGTTACAGGGTATGTATATGTAATCATCAAAGATTTACTATTAGTTCAAGATGAAGAAACAATGTTTGCTTATTTTTCATTATTTAAAGCACAACTGAAATAGGTTTTCTCAACTTGCAGCTACAAAAATTTTCTTCATTGTAAGTCCAAGGTAGAGTTCTTGCGATAGCCATTATAAAAGAAATGTTAGATATCTGTTTACGGTCATAAGTAACGTAAGAAAATTAACTGATCAATCAGATTGGCCCCCAAGTGATAAATAACGTCATCGTTTTGATTAATTGGTTCCTTGGTAATCACGACGTCATGTCAACCATGCGATTGTTGTGTAAACAAATAACAAAACATCCTGGCATTATGACGTCATGATTTAATGGATCAAAACGGGCCTTGTGGGGACCAGTGAGAGATCATAGGGGGGAGTGAAATGATTTTTACAATACTGATGAGAAAACATGTCCAAATACATTTATTAAAAATTCTATTGATTCCTTTAGGTCAAAAATACTCTTTCATATCTGCTTTAAGGGCTATATATTTACCATTTAGTATAAAAGTGTATTTTAATGATATGATAAACTCACATGATGAGTTTTTAAAAACCTTTTTAAAAGATAGGCATGGCATTGGATGATGATAGCAATTTTATTGTAAAAGCATGCCAATTTTTTTTATTCTCATCTCTACTCCTTGTATTTCCATTAGGATTGGCACTTATTTTTCATATATATTTATGAAGATGAAGACATGATTGATTCCTCAATGGTGGGAGCATATTTTACACTTTCTTTGGTTTCATATATTTTTACTATGATAACTATGCTTGGTATAATACGTATGTTCTATAGCAACCATGCCAAGACAGCAATGGGATTCCAAGGATTATATTATACAGATATTTGATTCTGTCAAAGTGAATACCAGTGCATCTTGCAAAAGTGATATTCAACAAAGGGCTCGTGGAATATCATCTCGTGAAAGTGCCGCAGTTATTCACCAAATTCTAAAATATGCTCCAAGCATTGGGAATCAAGTTTTCATGTTCATATGGCTAGAGGATAAATAGAGATTATCCTATATGAGGTTCGGGATATTGGGATTATCCCGAGGCTAATATAATAAATTTGCCCGAGGGCCGCAGGTCCCGAGGGAAAATATATTATATTGGCCAAGGGATAATCCCAATATCCTGAACCGACTATAGGATAATATGTTTATCCCATACCAATCTTGGTCATCTGGTTCACATTGTTCAATCGTGGAAATATTCTAGAATATTCATGTCTATTTTTGTTTTGTTGGCCGTGGGCGGATTTTTCTGTTCTCTCAAATATTCCCACATTTATTTTCTCGAATTTTTTAAGTGGATGCTCCTTCCATTTTTTAAACCATCAAACAGACCCCGATTGTCTTTGTTTTCTCCATTATCGTTTACAATCATTACGCGAACGTTACAAATTATGAACAAATATGCGAGCGGCGATTATGACGTAGCGGGCAGATATACTATATCTGCCCGCTCAGAGCGGGACGTAAAGCTATATCTGCCCGCTGATGAAAATATAAGTTTTTACAAACCGGCTTTATGTACCTGTAACATGTCCAAGTATGGGATAAATGATAATATATAACATGTAACATATGCATTTTTTCAGTTTTGTAATGCTAATGTTGATTAAGTTAAATCATAATGGTAAAATACTGTATGTTGAATTATATTAAAATGAAATAATTAAAATTATATTACATTTATATGTTATGTTGGGACTTCAGTGTGTACACAAGCTCAGTTACCTAGTAACCTGGTAACCTAGGTGGTATGACATGTTGTCCACCTAAATATAATATGTTAATCAAATTAAATCTTCAAAAGATATACATTGTTAGTTGGTACACAGCAAGATTAGTTACCTAGTAACCTGGTAACCTAGGCGATATGACATTTTGTTCACCGAAATAAAACTGATGTGTTAATCAAATTAAATATTAAAAGAGAATATGTTGTGCGTGGGAAATCAGTGTGTACACAGAAAGCTCAGTTATCTAGTAACCTGGTAACCAAGGTGATATGACATGTTGTCCACCTAAATATAATATGTTAATCAAATTAAATCTTCAAAACATTTACATTGTTAGTTGGTACACAGCAAGATTAGTTACCTAGTAACCCGGTAACCTAGGCGATATAACATATTGTTCACCAAAATAAAACTGATGTGTTAATCAAATTAAATCTTAAAAGAGCATAAGCTGTGAAAAAATTACAATTTTTTTTAATTTTTTTTTTAAATTAACAAATTTTGAATCTTTTATTTAAAAAATTGTTTTTCGTTTTGCAGTGTAAATAAAAAATTGAAAAAAATCAAACTACTTTTTTAGAAGTGATATTCGACCGTTTGTGGATTTTTTGCTGAAATATTATAAATACACTTATCAAATATGTTCATGTGATTTTCAATAATATATCCTTCCAATTATAACAAAACAATTGTTAACCTCTCTATTGGGTTGACTGGCAAAAGTGTATACCACAACTGTAAACCTTGAGAGCACTGTTGAGTGCTGACCTCAAACTCCAGTCTCGGTCAACAATACCTTCAAGGTTTACCATTTTGGTATACAATTTTGCCAGTTGACCTCAAGAGAGGTCTACAATTGTATACTGTCTACCTCTTGATACCTCAATTAAAGTTTATTGCCATTGTTGACCTCTATATTTGTCTTTTTGTTTTCAGCTTGGTGAATTGTCTGAGGCAGAAGATGCCTTATCTGAGGCTAATATTCTCAACAACAGTGACCCTGAGGTGTGGGGGTACCTCTCTCTGGTCTGTCTCAAGACTAACAGGCAGTTAGAAGCTGAACAAGCATACAAATATGCCCTTAAGGTATGAAAAATGTGTCCTTGATGTATGGGAAATATTGTTATAGAAATATGCCCTCATTGTATTGGAATATGCCATGATTGTATGGGAGATATGGCCTTAAAGCTTAAAACATATCTTCAAATATGCCCTTGATGTATGAGAAATATGCCCTTAATGTTTGGAAATATGCCCTCAATGTATTGGAATATGCCATAATTGTGTGGGAGAAATGCTTAAAGCTTGGAAATATGCCCGAAAGGTATGAAAAATATTTGGAAGATATGCCCTTAAAGTTTTGAAATATGCCCTCAAGGTATTGAAATATGCCATAATTGTATGGGAGATATGCCCTTTAAGCTTGAAAATATGCCCTGAAAGTAGGAAAATAGCGTAAATATTTAGGAGGTATACCCTAAAGTTTTGAAATATGCCCTGAAGGTATGGGAATGTGGCATTATTGTATGGAAGAGATATGGGCACTTTGTTAAAGCATAACTCAATTGTTTTCCTAATTCACTTCTATTTTACTGATGTCACTACAAATGAAATATAATTGTTTTCTTAACTTTCAGGTTAACTTAGTTGATGAAGAGTTGCTCGGGGAAATACATGGTGTCCAACAGGAGGTGGGATTTGGAAATCCTGAAATGTAAAATACAGACTCTCTCCAACAATTGGAATCATCGTTCTACAATTTGACCAGATTAGTTAGAAAAACAAAACATTTTTAGCTAAGTGCTATGATGTGATGAGAACTCTTCTTCATGACAAGGGGTTCCGTATTTTCTAAATGGGAGTACAGGAGTGTCAAAGTGTGCTACTATTGATGATCAAAATTATTTCTCCTTAAGCCTCAAATTTTATCTCATATAAAGTCATTAATTCACTAAATAGCCAATTTTTTCGCGAATTACAAAAAAACAGAAATTCACTTGTTTTAAAAGTACAGCTGAAGAATAGCAGTTATGTAAGACTGGACACTGTCTGACAGTAACAGTTTGTCTTACTGTAATATATTACTGGTGAATTTAAGTTTTTAATATTTCAGTTTATTGAAAGATGTCTCTGTAAGCACGTATTGAGAAGCACGTCAGTGTGGATATTTATAATTTTGGACCCATTTGCAAAATTATAGGGTGACAGCAAGGAGGATTGGATCCCAGAATGCACATCGATATTCTGTCCCACATTTGAACATGTCATGATCCAAAATTCGAATTCAAACAGCCGCCATTTTGTTCATTAATCACGAATTTTGGTCTTATTTCCTAACGAAAAAATTCCCAAACTCACTAGAAATGATCGAGATATTTGTTCGAATTTTTTGAACTGTTTATTTTGACTTTATAGTGTGTTAATTAAAAAAAATAATGACATTTCGACGTTTTCATTGTTAGAAAATATCGAGTTTCGATCCTCTGAGCCAATCCTCCTTGGGGTGACAGGATATATCAGAATTAATGACTACATTTTCACATTCTTCAGAAACAAACGCTGTTGTCCTGTACCGTACTAGTAATTAATAGAATGCATAAAGAATGGTTTAATAATTTAATTAATGTATTCCATTTTTTACTTGTTGCAGCGATTAAAACCGTCCATTAAAAACCTATCCGTCCATGTATCAATTTTAGATTATAAACTGTGATATAAATATTATAATATTGTATATATAAAATAATATGTAAATAGTGTATGTATTGTACATAGCCAAAAAGTGTTGGTTTATCAGTATGTGGTGTGTGTATATACTGTATTGAAGAAACTAGAAATAAAACTATTAATTGTGTATAAATACAATGGTATTCTAATGAATTGTCTTTGCACCTCACCCAGAAATAAAACACCCCATTGGTTAATTGTCAAACCAGAATACTAGATTGAGAACTGCAGAATAAGTATAATGAATAAAATAACATGCAGATCATATCTTCCCTTTAAATTTTTAAAAATGTCTAAATCTGGCACTTTATTGAAATGGAATTAATGAAATTAGCATGGGCAATGTGGAATTTTATTTGGGGGATACTTCAAAGCCATTTTGTTGGCATCTGTCAATGAGTTACTTTAATTGTCCAGAAATTAGGCCAAATGGCAGAAACCCACAAATCCATTGATTTTGGTAATGAGGGCCGGACGAGCACAATCGGGAACTTAGTTCGTTATTTCTACACAAACTGGTCCTCTAGAGCCATTGAAATGTACTTTGAAAATGAAATAAGAAATTTTGTACTTTTGTACTTTTTGTACTTTCGTATTGTTTAATATTGATTGTGATCAAAATATTTTGAATGAAGTGAACAATTCAAAATTCTACCTGTCAGTTTTAATAGTGGAGTCAACTTAAGGATAGTTTCAATCAAAGATACAAGCCTCTCCCTCCACTACTGATATCTGCATTAAAAGTGTTCTTATAATTTTTTTTTTTTTGGGGGGGGGGGGTATGCTCAAGGGGTTTTATGTAAGAATAATATTGTAACAATGTTTGTCCAACTGATATCACATTTAAACCCTATATTTAGATAAAATAGAATAATTGGTTTAAAATCATTGACATAGTCATTTCTGAACCACTGTCATCAATTTTCTGCACATATCTAACATTTGACGTTATGTAACTGTTATACCGACCCCTAAACCCCAAAAAAACTACCAATGGAGACATGATGATTACACCATTAAGAATACTATAACTCTGTTAAAATATGCATGCAATTAAATTTTGCGGCACTTGTTTTCAAGATTTTCAAATATTAGCATTCACCAAAATTTCTATTAGGTATTTATTTATCTTAAGAATAGTTTTTTAAAACTATTTTCACATCTTTATGTCTCATGCCATATTATGTCAGTATTGTATTGTATTGCATTGTATTGTATTTATTTTTTATTCCTCAACACGGAAGAGCATGTCAGTACTAGATAAAATTCAAGAAGTTGGAAAGGACACAGAATGTAACAAAGCACAAAATGTTAATATGTAGCATCAAAGTTTACCATGGTAACAATAGTATGCGTACTATAATTAATAAAGATAAACAATGATAATAGATTATTAATGATTTTGATAAATACTAATTGAATATACTGTATCTCTTTCATCACAAAAGTGTTAACAAAATAATACAAAATATTGTCATAGGAACATCAAATTCTAGCTAGAAAACAAAAATTGTTATAGCATCAAAATATGGTAACAACAGTACATTATGTACTTTAATTAAAAAAGAAAATAAACAACAACAACAATGAGTCGTAAATAATTTTAATAAATACTAATTGAATATATTTCTTTAAATAATTATCACAATCACAAAATTGATAATATACATAATAAATAATACAAATATTGTCATAGAAACATCATACCCTGGATAATACAATTTGACCATTTACATATATGAAAGATTTGACCATTTACATATATGAAAGATTACCCTGTATGTTGATTTACCCTGTAATAATGTACATACATGTATATTGAAAACACACATGTACAATATGCATGCACATGTATATATAATTATATACAGTTGAAGGCAAAGTCCCCCAAAAATGGATAAGATTGAGGAAATCATTGGCCATGTTTTTGGGATGTCTCTACTGACTTATCTCATCAAATAATGTAACTTATTTTTTCAAAAAATTTCATGCCTGTCTCCATGTATGCAGTTTTTCATACCATATTATCATGATGGCATTTTCCCTTTTCTATTTACATTTTGTTTTAATCCTGTTAAAGTTCTTCAAAGTATGATTATTTGATAAAAAGTAAAAATTGAGTAAGTGTATTGTCTGATGGAGATATAGATGGACCTAATTGTTATTCAAAGTTTGATTTCCCCAAATCAATGATCTATACTTCGCTCAAATTATAATTGCATAACTGACTGTAAAATACCATGGACCTATATCCCCTTATTTTCTAATATTATTCATGTAATTTTTAAAGGTTTATGAGGCATCATATTGCTATACTCATATTGCTTGCTTCATGATTCTAATTTGGCACAAACTGATAATCTATCAAAATTCGTTTTTAATTTTTGTTTCTTCATACAGACAACAATGAAATGATTGTCAATCTAAAAATGAAAACATCTTATAATAACAATATAAATATTGTATGTATTATTTACAATGACTGACTAGATGCATGCAGATACCAAATATGGCATTCAATAACACATACCATATTTGGTCATATAATGGAAGATCGGAATGCTGATGGGTAATCTACAATGTATGACAATTTGAATAGTTTTTAAATTATCAAGTTATAGCACCTCTTGTTTAGGACTGTTCTTCTGACTTATGCTATTTGAGAAAGATTCACCACTTTTTTATTGCACATATCCTTAATATTAATAAAATGATAAATTAATTAATGATTGGAATGTTACTAGCATATTACATTATTATCTGCCTTTATCAATATTTATAACTTCCCTTGCAGCCACTTGTCAAATGAAATTTGAGTGTTTGTGTGTACAGTAAAACCTGTTTTAGTGGACACCTCTCTTAAGTGAACCACTGTCTTAGTGGACACCTCTCTTAAGTGAACCCCTGTCTCTAGTGGACACCCTTCATCCACACATAATTCTCTGCTGACTTCTCTATAAATTAACCTCTGTAGTGAACACCTACCAGCACTGATCTGAACTTGGCAAAAAATGTTCAACATACACAGGTTTTACTGAACAACAAACAATAATAGGAAAGACCTGAGGTGTACCATACTACCTTTTTTATAGAGTTCCTATGAGCAGAATGCATGGGTCTATGGTATCTACACTCCCCTCCATAAGTTTGGATACCTAAAATTTTTATTAATCAAAGCCTGTCAATTAAATTAAATCTTAAATTTTGTTTTGTTCCTTGATTACAGCCGTTCAGAGGATAAGCGATCGAAAGGGAGACTTCCTGTTTCCAAACTCATGGAGGGGAGTGTATACTGAGATAGAGGCTAGTATTAGACTTTCGTTTGATTTAAAGATGTGAAATGAAATTATTGGAAAGAGTGCAAATAATCCAACGGTTGTTTGTAAACTCACATTCATAGAGATTTACTTTTAGAGTATCTTATTCATAGAGATTTACTTTTAGAGTATCCTATTCATAGAGATTTACTTTTAGAGTATCCTATTCTGATGTCATATAAAGTCTTTAGTGATGCCTTAGTAGTGAGAATTGTTTGTAGTTGTATTTCTAGAATTATTCCTTTGGTGTCTTCGTTGTTTCTTTGGGTATATGCCATTAGCAATCCTGATTTCAGTGTTCTCTTAAATATACTCCAAATGATTGTCTCCGTTTATTGCAACTTTTGTTCATTAATGTGTCCATCTTAAAATATTGATGTTGTTTATGATGTATTTTGCAACGCTACTTCTATGTCTGATATCCCAGGGACACTGTGTTAGCGAGGCCTGGGTGGGAGACTGAGTTATTCATCCGTAACGCTGTTAAACTCTTGTTGTACCAATCATCTTCATGGCTTTCCTGGAAATAACATGTATTTTATATTAATTGAACTGGACCGATCGACGAAAAAATTGTTCATTTTTGTGACATACTTTTATAGTCTGCAACTTTTTTTGTGGACGGTGTTTGGCGGTCTGCGTCTGTAACAAATGCCAGGTAGTGACATTTTGCATGTTAATGCCTTAATTGTTTTATTTCAGGTGGACAATGGACCATTATGAATTGTTAAAGGTGGGGTGTCACTTATGACCAGACCCCTTTGTATGGGCATTTTTATTTGTTTGTTTACTCCTGAGTAATATTTAACGTACCAGGCCGTAGTCTGACGTGGCCATCGAAAGTTGTTGTATTCCCTGCGCATGTCTGCCCGCCATACCCATGTTTGCCGTAGGGGGACCCATCGAGCCCATCGTGGAAAACTGTGCATGTGTCATTGGGGCGTATGAACTGTTCATTTGAGGGTACCTACAAAGGAGAATTGTGGATTCAATGTATTCGTTAATACATGGCTCAAACTGAGAGTTAAATGTCATGTTTATCCACGTTTTTTGAATTTATTTTGACATCACGAATTAACTCAATTTTTATCAATTTTCATCATGTATACTTTCATATATTTAAAGCATATTAAAATATTTAAAATCGTAATTTGAGGTCCTTTTTGCCGTTTTCAGTTAAATTGCATATCCATGATGATATGTTTTAATGTTGTAATATGTTGAAATGTTGTAATATGTTATAATGTTGTAATACCTTGCCATACTGGTCATACTGTTGACGGCTGGGTTAGGAGCTGGGTAGGGATAGCCCCTAGTTGCGGAGGGGTAGATATTGCGCATCATTCCGTTACACGTAGGGATAACCGGTGATAGAGATTTCGCAAGCTGCTTTTCTTGTTTCCTATATTTGGCTCTGCGGTTTTGGAACCAAACCTGAAAATAGAAAGAGAAAGTTTAACTTTAAAATCCCGGGAATTCAATGTAATTGTGATACCCGAATCGGGCTGGACTTATCCTTCATATTAATATACATATTTTGATGAAAATAGCTGTGTAATTACTAAATAGGTATCTACATACTATGGAGTTGTTATTTAACCAGCTTTAATATCTTTTTTTTATAATATCAAGCAACACAATTCTATCAACCATTCAATGTAAAGTCATACTATATTAATCTCGCGCCGACCCTATATGTAATTACAAATTATTACAATAAACATCAATTACATTAAAATAGTAAAATGTACAAAAAACATCAATTTCATCATAGAGTACAATACATATCACGTTCATATTTGAATTGAATAAATTTGAATTATATATAATACAATATATTGACACTTTTATAATAAATAAATATAGCGCAGTATAATAATTTCAGTACAATTCCAGCTCATTTAAGATTACCTCGCACAAAAATAGTCATCATTCTACTTTATGTAATATATCCATTCTATGCATGACGAAAAATATTATTCCCGAAAAGGTACACGCATCCTTCTTCAAAGGACTTCATTTATACTTAAATTCAGAAATAATACAGTATACTATACCCTTGTTGCTAGGATGGGGTACCCGATAAAGAAACATTAAAATCTTTCGAAATACTATGAAGACCTAACATTAATACTAAATAATGTATTTCAGTAACTTAAGATGGCTTACAGGTTCGTTCCAATGGGATACATTGATAGTGCCGAGAGATAATTTCGTTAGACGTGTGTCACTTACAATTTGTTTAGAGTTACATTTTTAATGGAACATAGGCCTAAAAGGATGTCTAACAACAACATTGGGATAACTATCTTTCGTTATTCCATCAATATGTATATGTCACGCTGGTGATTATAACCCGGGGGAGGGGTGATTTTGGATGACAACGAATCAAGATGTTCCGACTTCGGAGAGTTTAGTGTATTTTTCCCGCAAGCGCGCTTACTCTTTTAATAGTGTCATTTCTGTTTAACTTCCACTTATGGGATGCAAATACAACCTGTGAGCAGTCTAGTTCTAAACTACGAAGCTCTCTTTTAAGAAGCGAAGTCGAACGAATGCAAAGAGCCCTGGGTAAAGCGTATACTTTAGAATGAGTAATAGTTACATTTCATTTAAACAATATACAATATGCATATTTCAAAGATCAGAAATCATTTAGTTAGTTTGACTAAGACAAAAATAAAAGCAAATGACACGTCATGTTGAATAGTATTGTGATCGCGGCTTTGAATATATCTAGAAATTAGAAATCGAAACAGGTCGTTACACAAAACCAATTTTTTTTTAATAAATACTCATTTATTTCTTTAAATCATTAAATAAATTTACATTGTAATCACGGCGTAATCGCCCATAAAGGGCATTTCTACTGCCGCTTTAAGTGAATTTAAATACAATATAATGTTATTGAGTCATATTCATAGTTAGTATAAAAATATATAAAATTTAAATACAATCTGTTTTACTGCCTGCCTGTACCCCCGTTGGTGCCCTGAAATTGAATTACTGTTTTGATTGTTTAATTGTGTTTAATAAAATTTATAACTGCCTTAAAGATTTTGGAATTGTTTTCATTTGTCAGATCCTTGTCGCCAAAAAGTAGGAAATTTGTCTTATTTTTTAATGTTTTGTATTTGGTAACATCTAAGTTTAGCTCACGTTTAACCACCGCTAGCGCATTTGTTTCTCTCAGAGGGCAGGACAAGAGTTTATGTTGTGCTGTCTCTCGAGCTCCACAGTCACAATATGGATCGTTAATGAAAGAGAAATTATGGTCAAAAAGATCAGATTTAAAATATCGATTTACTCTTATCTTATTTAGTATAATTTCGTCTTTTCTATCAAGATTCTGTATGTAGGAGGTTGAAATTGTAGGTTCCATGTTATTAGTGAGATGATCGCTTAGTTGTTTTTTGAAAAGTGAGAAGCTGTTTGTTTCCTTATGGTCTCTAGGAAGACGGTTCCACAAGGTTATCATTGAGCAAACTGTTCCCGTTTCCATTTTTTTACTAATTGAGGCTGGTAATTTGTAGTCGTTGGTTGTTCTAAGAACTCGCGTCTGAGGTGATTTATATCGTTCGAAAATCCGTTTAACGTAAGATGGTGCCAAATTGTTTTGAATCTTGAACATAACGCGCAATTTATGTTCATCCCGTCTATTTTGAAGATTATCCCAATTTAATATTTCAAGGGTTTTTTCTGTGCTTGCTCCTTGCATAACACCACAACAAATAACAGCTGCCCTATAATGTAGCTTGTCTAACTGGGCTAGGCTTGTAGCTGGAGCAGCGTCATAAATGATATCGCAATAGTCCAGATGTGACAGGATAAAGGAAGAGTAAATTTTTTCCAGGTGTTTGGAATTTAATCTATGCTTAAGTGCCATAAGTGGATTTAATAATTTTTGAACCTTACCTTCTAGATATTCAATATGGGTTTTAAAAGTTAACTTTTCATCAAGAATTAGCCCGAGGTGCTTATGATGTTTAATTTGATCTATTGGAGTGTCGTTGAAAACAAACTTAGGATATGTTCTCTCAATTGGTCTATTTGTTTTAAAGATCAACTCGTGACTTTTTTGTGGTGCGAAAGTTAGTCCCCATTTCTGGGACCACATTTGGATATGAATTAAGTCATCTTGAAGAACTTGGCTATCTGTTTGGTGATTTATTGGGTCAACCGGACAAAAAAGTGACGTGTCATCCGCATAGATAAAACATTTAGAGTTTAAATCGTCTGTTATGTCATTTAGATATAACAAAAAGAAAATCGGTCCCCATATTGAGCCTTGGGGGACTCCAGAGTTGATTTGACCGACTTTACTTGACCTAGATAATTCATCATTGATCTTAATTTTAATTGTTCTGTTTGTGAGGTAAGATTGAAAAAGGTCAATTAGTGATTTTGGGATACCGTAGGATTTGATTTTCTGAAGAAGGAGTACATGAGGGACTTTGTCGAAGGCTGATTGAATGTCCAAAAATATTGCTCGAACATCGAGACCATTTTCAAAATTTTGAAGAATGTAGTTTGTTATAGCAGTTAGTTGGAGTTGAGTGTTGTGTTCTTTAAGAAATCCAGATTGCATTTCATAAATTAGGTTATTTGATGTCAAGTGGGTCATCAGTTTACAATTTACTATTTTTTCAAAAAGTTTAGACATTGTACAAAGTAAAGTTACAGGCCGATAATTTTTTATTAGAGATTTGTCATCTTTTTTATGGATAGGACAAACAACTCCTTCTTTCCATTTTGAAGGAAAAGTCTTGGAAGTGAGAATCGAATTAAAAAGTTTTGATAATGGAATGGCGAGGGGGTCACTTGCTAATTTTAACATTTCATTTGTGATTTGGTCATGTCCGGCTGATTTTCCACGTTTTAATTCCATTATACTTTCCACAATCATTTGTGGGGAAATTTCAAATTCTTGCATATATAATTGAGTTAACCAATTACCCATATTGAAGAAAGAAAATGTTCAATGTGTAACAAGAAAACCGGTTCAGAATGCCATTTCCTATTGGAATGCAATAAGTTAAAAGATGTTCGGTCAAGCTACATGGATAAAATAAAAAAACACTGTCAAAATTTAGAAAACATGAATAACGTGGAACATAAATTAATGTTTCTATTTAATTCAGAGGGAATAATATTAAATATATTCGCAAAATATATATCAAATATTTTTATCGAGAGAGAAAAAAACACGAATGCATCCAATAAAATCTTGCAATAATCAAGCACCCTTTGATTAATTAAAATAATTGTAGGTAATTAGCTAGCTGGAAATCAGGAATGTTGACGTGACACTGAAAAAGATACGTGACACTGGAAAATTTACACTATCAACGCTTCATTTTTTTGTAAAATTATTTTTTGATTATCTCGTCAGGCACCTCTGCGATGACGTCAATGTCGCTGAAATCCTCATCTACGTAAATAATTCTCATTATCGGATTCAATAATAGTAATTCATAGCTAGGTAAGGTGTGTCCGATTCCAGCCAATCCAAACACAGTATTTCACATATAGAACAGTGTGTGAAATATCAATAACATAAGCAAGGTCACTAGTTAAACAGTTGTCATGGTGATGAATGGACTTTTCACATTGGATTTGATGACTTTGAATCTCCATTTGCTGATATTCTCGCTCTTGTTTAAATCCTTTTATTTATCAGGGTGGACATACAAACTTTTGAAATCCCATTGATCATTGTCCGATGCGTACCCTTAAACGATTAAAATGATAAAAACATGTTTAAATGGCGCCATTTGATTTTATTGGATATGTATAGGATATCCTATGATTTTGAGGGATATCATTTTTATCCACGAGTTGATATCAATATCTGGACGAGTGAGCGTAGCAAATGAGTGCAGATATTGATATTAACGAGTGGATTGAAATGATATCACGAAAAATCATATAGGATGTTCTAATATAAATACCTTCTGTTCCAATTTTCAATCTTGGATTTTTGTCTCAGTTTATAAGTTCCCATAGAGGGATTTTTACTCACTCTTGACTTGACAAAAATGAAACTGCTACTAGTTATTTTTTAAATATTAATGTAATAAATATTTTTGGATATTTATTATATTTTTTATTCGATTCCCAGCAAGATATCGATCTCTGTCAAAAGAGTTTGTAAAAATATAAAATGTAGGTTGTTTTAATAAAGTTATTAATCATTTAAATATACCGAAAAGTTTGTATCGAAAATGCTATCAATTTTCGCTTTGCCAATGTTTTTGTTACAAAACTAAAAACGGGCCTCGTAGAGAGAATCGCACTTTGAAGATTTTGAATCAGTGGGATTGGAAAAAACGAAACGAAACCATGACATATTTTGCATGTCAAAGATATCAGATTAATGTCTAATTTTGCTGATTTATTGAATACAATTCCATACACAAATGGAAGACATTCTCTCCTCACGCAAATTGCTTCATTCAGAATCCACTGATGTTTTATAAAAGGGCAATTTGTACAAGGCCCTTCCCGGGGGACACTCAAAGTCCCATCAGTACTTCCTAAAACCATCGTATTTTAATACTTAATTGGACTATTGTTTTCTATCCGAGTTTTGGTGTGCTTTGAATAACGTTTAGCAGCACGCGACGTACACACTTTATTTATGAAGAGCAAGTGGCAGCACGCGATATAACGACTGCCTTTTATTTATAAATTTAATCTTATTTGCAAAATAAATTCCTGTAGAAAAACCGGGAGAAAAAACTAGACTGAGTGACTAAAACCTAATAATTGGGAATAAATGTAGGCCTCTAGTTTTTTATTGCATAACAACTTTTTAACTACCCAGAATGCCTAGACGATGCTATATGTGTTTTTTTACTATGAAAGGATGATAAAAGCGCAACAAAAGCTACTGTTGTTAAAAATTTGCATAACTTTCACATCGATTTATACACTGAACAATGGCTATGGAATGATGAAAGAAAATATGTGACATTTTTATTTACCAATGTGTACTTTATATATGACAAACAGAATATTCTAATTAATAATGAGCTAAAAAGTGGCTTTTGAAACTCTGAAACAAACATTAAAGTAATGCGTTATAAATTAATCTATTGTAAAACATCATTGAACACTGAGCATTGAATTCTTGCATCTTGATGTTCTATGTTATGATAACTAAGCATTTGATCCCATTCTAATCACCAACAGAGTCGCTAAAGAACATGTTCCCCCGGGCAGAGATGAACAGGCGAACAGATGGGAACGAGCATTTAAAATATCCCCTCTCATCAACGTTGTCCCCTGGTGATTTTAAGCTGCTTCTGAACATCCCCATCATTTTCAAAATGCTCAATTGCAAAATATAACACCAAATATTCACCGTGTTATATTTCTTGTACTTTTAATAAATTAACGCCATTGGAATATTAATACTCGTATTATTGTGTTATTGCTTCAGATTTTAATTTTTTTACATGAGTGTTTATTTTGAGTTCTCATACTTTTTTTTTTTATTAATTTTGAAGGGTAGAGATGCCGACTGAAGGCTTCATTTGTTCAAAGACATACGACAATGACAAGTTTCAGAAATATGAGACGAGAAACGTCTAACTCTCGTATCACGTATGCCGAGAGAAAAATATGAAATATTTGTAAATGCCGAATACTTAAGACAATTGATCAATAATATACATCACTATATATATATATAAATATAAATATTCACCGTGTTATATTTCTTGTACTTTTAATAAATTAACGCCATTGAAATATCATTACTACGTAGTATTATTGTGTTATTGCTTCAGTTTTTAATTTTTTTTACATGAGTGTTTATTTTGAGTTCTCATACTTTTTTTAAAATTAATTTTGAAGGGTAGAGATGCCGACTGAAGGCTTCATTTGTTGCAAGACATACGACAATGACAAGTTTCAGAAATATGAGACGAGAAACGTCTAACTCCCGTATCACGTATGCCGAGAGAGAAATATGAAATATTTGTAAATGCCGAATACTTAAAAAAGACAATTGATCAATAATATACATTATATATATATATGAGTTCTTATCAATAAATCTACGAAAGACAACGTTCACCAGATAAAATTCAAGAACTTTCTGATATTTAATGCGCAATACGTCAAAAGAAATTAAACGCAAGATGCTCGGAATATCAGAATACAGCATTTGATACGTGTTCTAGGATTGAAATAACTACGTACAATCTGTTTCTTTTAAGTCAATTCAATAAAGTGACACCTCGGCCAATTTCGTAAAATATTTCAAAATGATCCATATTTGCATAATCCGAATACTGAATAAGAAGAGAAAAACACACAGGTGATGAATAAGCTCGATACAACAAAATTAGTCATTTCAATTGAATTTATTTCTATTCGCTGTCTTCTCATCTATTGCTCGTATGCATTAACTTGTCTCAGTTAATTCTCAGATGTTTTCTGTCTATTCACGGCATAATGAATTGCTAATTCGTTTGTGGAGCATCCACGAAGACACATCTCTTTTCGAGTGGAAAGCGAAGACGTTTCAAGGAGAATGGCCAAATTCAATTTACTCCAAAGGAGCAATTTTAGAAAGGTCTAATCACGTATCGTAAGAAATGTCAATGTATTGAATTGATGGGTTGCTTTTATTGAAATCTCAACAAAATTCACTTTCCTCTGAACTAGGCCCTGTTTCACGAATTCTAGCCATAATGTGTGTATTTCTACTATTTTTCCAAACTGGCGAGAATTTATTTTTCTCGGCCTCTTTGCTTCCTTTAATTAATTTCACGTTTTGTAACATGATGAAAATGACATATTATTTAGCACTGTCAATGAGCTCGTCCTCCCAATGGATTACTTTTACCCGACAGATTTTCAAGTAACACCAGCGTATCTGTTAGCATGCATTAGTTGGTTCGCCTAATTGATTTTAATTGCAACCAAGACAAATTGATAATGATTATTTGAACTGGGTGATGATTAACTCATCACTACAGGGGCAGGGAATGCACTAGTACTGCTCTATGAGATGAAAACCTTGGCACATAATGCGGCATTTAATTCATTTAACCGTTCATTAATGCATTGGTATTTTATATGTTCATTTGACGAAGGTCCTCAATGGATTGCAAATGTTATTCATACCAAACCTTTGGGATAAATATTATCTGAACAATTTCATAAGCAAAATATAACTAGAATTATAATATTTATATCAATTATTAATCTCTTATTATCATTGATAATTATACTAAACCGGTGATGGAGATCTTTTCTTTATATCATTTTCGGAAATTCTAATTTTTTTTCTTTTTTCGTATTTTCACATCTTGATTCACAAGGTTTCAGATTCTTCGACATCGTTGTAGTTGAAGTTAACGTCAGCATCCCTTTATTGTATTTTGCAGATTTTTAAGTAAACTATTTATCGTATTTACATGCCAAATATGTAACTGGATAAAAATAATAACTTCAGTAGTTCATTTAGTTGTTTAGATTTTAGAACGAATAATATACCAGCTTATATTGAATCTCGGTCCAAGATTCATCTACAAATGGTGTCGTTTTCACTCTTTATTGGTTTTGGACTAGATACTAGGTTTATACTATATATTTGATAAATGTCGTTTATATTAAGAATGTTTTATCTTTATAAAGATAATTAAGAACATATAAAATATTTAATTTTCGATCTATTTCTCGAACTGTTTTAGGGTATGATATTGGGCCTGTGCAATTTATTATCCAATAAAGAAATTATAGCTTATCATTCGATGATTTTACCGAAATTATAATTACAGGTTTTATTTCAAAAATTTAATTTATTTTAAATATTATAACCTCATCTAAGCAAAATAACATTGAATGAAATCAGATAAAAATACAAAAAACACGCGAATCATTTTTACAAATTTTTACAATTCTCTTAAATTCCATTTGGTGGACAACTTGTATTGCTTTTTCTTATTTTTTTTAAAAGGAATGGTTAACCAAAATTCACGACCAATTTAATTCATGAGACATAATTAAACATGAGGTTTATGAATAGCAAAACCAAACATACAAATTGTTCTATTGAGATGACAGATGTGCAGAAACACCTCGCACTTCGCCCCGGGCGTTTCATCTTTCTGCGCATTGACGTGGACGCTCTACGTAGGATTTTATATTGGTTTTTCCTTTGTAAATTAATGTTTTATGTAAGATTATCGTGACTCTAAACATATGAATTGAAATTATTCTATATAAACTGATCAAAATGTCCAAGTTGTATTTTGTCTTAGCAGCTGGTATTTAAGTTGTTGTTACATCGTTTTTTGTTACATCATACCCGGTATTTACTTCATCCTTCAAATTCCAACAAAAAAACGTTCAAGGAAAGTTATATTCACCCACCTGAATTCGGGCCTCATTTAGCTTAGTAACTCTAGCCAGTTCTTCCCGACAATAGATATCTGGGTAATGACTTTTTGCGAACGCTGATTCCAGCTCTTGTAACTGTTCCTGGGTAAAAGTAGTCCGATGTCGTCTGCGCGCGGGGGTGGGACACGTGGCGGGATTGTGACCGGGGGATATAGAGTTAGCAGACGACATTTGATTGATAGCGCCATCTTGTTTGATTTTTTTGAACGCTCCTTCAACTCCTGAAATAGATAAAAATAAGTATATAAATATATAAATAATTCCTTATTTTCAAAGAAAATAAAACCAATGTGTAAATGCATATAGACCAACAAAAAGAATAATAACTAGACATGTAAATTGAACAAGTTCAATTTAAGACTCCAGATTTAAAACTTTTTTTAAGCTGAGTCATCCAAAATACTGTAAGCTGAGCCATTCAGAATAAGCTGAGTCATCTAGAATTCAGACATTTAGACAACTCTTAAGTAAGTTATCTTCGTCTCCATTGGCTTAACATGGGGATGTCATAATATCGACTTTTCGAGACTTCAAACAACTATAACTATCTAACCAGAATTTGGGTCGAAATTTGGTTTGCAGATTCGAATTTCTGAGAAAATTCTACGTTTGTGTCATAACTCATACATTAAATTTTGAGAACTTTTTGTGTTGACCTACTTTCCGGACGCCATTCCTCAAAATCGGTAAGAGTAATCAAAAAAGACTAATAGTGAATAGTGACAAAGATAATTGACATAACATGGGATATCAAAATACCAATTTTTTAATTTTTCAAAACGCCATTACTTCCAAACCGAGTGTCGGATTGAAATTTGATTTGCAGATTCGGATTCCTGAGAAAATTCTACCCTTAATTCATAACTCATACGTTAAATTTGGAGAAACTTTCATGTTGACCTACTTTTCGGACACTATATCTCAAAAGTGGGTCAAAATACTTTCTGACGGCAAAAGGCTAACACTATTAGCACACTCTTTGCTACCTGTATCCAAAATTTTGAAGCAAATAATTAAAGTGTAGTGTCAGAATCGCAAAAATAAGTTAAAACTATAAATTTGACCTAGATTTTGACCTAGGCATTTTGGTGTCCAAATTGTGAAGCTAGCTAGCTTTTGAGGTCCCTTTCTTTTATAGGCTTTCATTATGTAAAGCTGTACTTAGTCTATATCTCGTATTTTACACTTCAAAAAAATCTTTTTCCCATTGCCATAACATGGGGCACCAAATTTAGCGATTTTTGAATTTTCAAAACACCACAACTTCTGAACCGGAAGTCAAATCGAAATTTGGTTTTCAGATTCGGAATCCTGAGAAAATTTCCTATAAGACTGATATCCTGGACATTGGATTCGGAGAACTTTTTTTTGGACCTCGTTTTCGGACACTGATATCTCGAAATCGGTTTGAGATACCAAAAAACTAAATCGACCATAGCTTTTCTACTTTTTTATGAGGAACACAATGAAAAAAACCCGGATCAAAAATATTGAAGGACGACCGAGATAATGGGAAAAAGTGACAAAGTACTGGATTTGACCTAGTTCTTGACCTTTGACCTAGATAAAAATTTGACCTAATTTCCCAGAAAGCCAGATACATTCCCTAGTTAACCATGTAGGTTGGATTAAGTAAGATGTTATAGTTGGAGAGAAAATCTGTTAGGAGGAAGAAAGAATAATAATAACTAGACATGTAAATTGAACAAGTTCAATTTAAGACTCCAGATTTCAAACTTTTTTTAAGCTGAGTCATCCAAAAAACTGTAAGCTGAGTCATCCAGAATAAGCTGAGTCAGCTAGAATATAGACATTTAGACGATGTTATCTTCGACTCCATTGGTTTAACATGGGGATATCATCACATCAACTTTTCGAGACTTAAAACCGCTACAACTATCTTACCAGAAGTTGGATTGAAATTTAGTTTTAATATTCAGATTCCTGGGGAAATTCTACCCTTATTTCATTACTCATACATTAAATTTGGAGAACTTTTTATTTTGACCTACTTTTCGGACACCATATCTCAAAAGTGGGTCAAAATACTTTCTGACGGCAAAAGGCTAACACTATTAGCACACTCTTCGCTACCTGTATACACAATTTCGAAGCAAATCATTTAAGTGTAATATCAGAATCGCAAAAATAAGGAAAAACTATGAATTTGACCTAGATTTTGACCTAGGCATTTTGGTGTCCAAATTTTAAAGCTAGATAGCCTTCGAGGTCCCCACCTTTTATAGGCTTTCAGAATGTTAAGCTGTAGTCAGTCTATATCTGGTATTTTACGCTTCAAAAAAATCTTTTTTCTCATTGACATAACATGGGGCACCAAATTTAGCGATTTTTGAACTTTCAAAACGCCATAACTTCCGAACCGAAAGTCGGATTGAAATTTGACTTGCAGATTCGGATTCCTGAGAAAATTCTGCCCTTAATTCATAACTCATACGTTAAATTTGGAGCACTTTTTAGTTTGACCTACTTTTCGGACACCATATCTCAAAAGTGGGTCAAAATACTTTCTGACGGCAAAACGCTAACACTATTAGCACACTCTTTGCTACCTGTATACAAAATTTTGAAGCAAATCATTACAGTGTAGTATCAGAATCACAAAAATAAGTTAAAACTATAAATTTGACCTAGATTTTGACCTAGGCATTTTGGTGTCCAAATTTTAAAGCTAGGTAGCTTTTGAGGTCCCCTTCTTTTACAGGCATTCATTATGTTAAGCTGTATTCAGTCTATATTTAGTATTTTACTCTTCAAAAAAATCTTTTTTCCCATTGACTTAACATGGGGCACCAAATTTAGCATTTTTTAGCTTTCAAAATGCCATAACTTCCGAACGGGCAGTGGGATCGAAATTTAGTTTGCAGATTTGGATTCCTGAGAAAATTCTACATCTTTTTCATAGTTCACACATTCAATTTGGAGGATGTTCAGTCGTGACCTACATTTCGGACGCCATATCTCAAAATCGGTAAGAGTAATCAAAATTCTGATGTCATATCTTTGATTCGCCTTTTTCTAAGCTACACGATGAAAAAAAGATGAAGGAGTTACGAAGAATATTGACGAAGATATGATGAAGAATGTTGAAAATGTAAGATTTGACCTAGTTCTTGACCTTTGACCTAGATAAAAGTTTGACCTAATTTCCCAGAAAGCCAGATACATTCCCTAGTCAACCATGTAGGTTGGATTAAGTAAGATGTTATAGTTGGAGAGAAAATCTGTTAGGAGGAAGAAAGAAAGAAAGAAAGAATGAAGAAGAATAATAAGAATACAGGCAAAAACAATAGACTCCAGATTTTCAATCTGGAGTCTAATAAGAAAACAGGCAAAAAAAATAGACTCCAGATTTTCAATCTGGAGTCTAATTATTGTTACGAATAAAAAATAAAATACAGTAAGTTAACTCAAATTCTGAAACATAGGAACCGATTTGTTGTGATTGCAATTAGTCGTCCCTGATTGTGCGACTCAAATGGCAAACCTACTGAGCGAACAAGTGCGACATGTCACACTCCAAAGTACCCCTACAGTTACTTTACAAATCCTTTCATACTTTAATAGGCCCAAAAGTTTAACTTCGCTTAGTTTCTGGGGACATCTGTTAAGACAAAATACTTCTTCGTTAGCAGTTCATTAGAATCACAGTAAAAAGGAAAATAATTGGCTACATTTATGAGATGTTGATATCTTATGGACCACTTGAAATTGATCACGTTAATAAAGCTGTACGTTGTCCTTATATCTTTGAAATGCGATGGACAAAATTGACATCAAATCGCACATCTTGATATAAAACACCAGTTTTTAAACAGACTAATATTTGTAATCCTGTATCTCGCAACATTCCAAAACATTATTCAGCTTTCGTTTTCGACGCCTGTTATATTTTTTCTTTATTGCGTTTTGTGTTTTTCGTTGCATTTTTTAATCTTATATTTTATACCGTAATCGTTTGGAACGAATGCTGAAGTTCTATGAGAATGGTCCATATCCATTGTCTATATTTTGTCAAATTCCTTAAAACGACTGTATGATTTCCATGAATTTTATTGGAATGGAGGCAGTTCCTCCAACTTAGACTTACCGAGCGTTTATCTCCAAACAAACAAACTTTGTCTTCCGTCCCGTGTTTTAAATACGATCGTCGTCCAGAGGTAATAGAATTTTGTTTCTCACTTTCCAATCAAAAATAATTTTCATTCCGGATGCAATTGAGCTCGCATAACTATGGTTTCATTTGAACGCTCATTTCCCGCAATTTATCTAGTTAGTGCTACTAAGGAACGAGCTAATGAAATCAGGAAAAAACTAAACTATTCAAGACAGCGTTGCGCAAACTAAGTTTGGAAACTCTATAAAAAGGTAACTGAGTTTCGACAATGATGTTTGATCAATGATATCTTCATGGAATCTAAATTGACAGAGGCCATAAATCAACTAAATTTCACTGACTAAAATTATTAGGACACAAATAAAATTACTTAGAACGGTAAATGAATTACTTGTTTGTCTCTGTACGTTCATTGCTTTGGAGAAATTATGTAATTGTCTATCCGCACCATCAATGGCCAAATCATTTAAAACAAATCATATTTGGCGAAACTCATTTATCTTTAACTAGATGAATAAGCTTAACAAAATTATAGCTAAATGTATTTTCATTACCTGCGTCAGTTAGCGGCCTCTGTGCGTCCATTGAATATAAAGATGTAAAATCTTCACACTTGCGTTTGTCATCGTCTACAGGTACCCTAGATTCATCCGCCATTTCCAAAATATTCTGAAAGATGATTAGTTTCGGAAGTAAGTTTGAAGAAACTAAGGTTTTAAGAATGGTAATGCAATTTAAAATACTGTATATTTATATAGATTGTGCCTTTTTGGTCCACGAGAAGATCGTGGCTAGAATTAACCAATGGAAATACACTCGCGTGCTGGGAATTGTCGTCAATAAGTTCCCTGAAAGCCTAATCAATTTCCCCAAATTTTGATTGGTCCAGAGGTAATCTAATTTCATCAGAAATTGATTGTAGAAAACATAAGAGAAGGGGTCATTAGCGATGTGTGGCTGGCTTACAGATGTGAGATGATACATCGCCAATATGTTGAACTCGACTACCTACTTGAAATCATGACCATAATGTAGGCCTTGTATATTGCATAAACACGACAGCAAAGTGGTTAAATAGGCAACTGGAAATAGCAAAGCAGTTTTCGGGATATTTTTAATTTTATTTCAGCTATTCATATGAGATAGATTCATTGTATCATTCATTCCAAATGTTTTTAAACTTACAATTTTAATTTCGTTTGAATTAAGATGAGTGAGAGGGATAATTCGGAATTGGTACAACGTGTCAAATAACATTGCAAAGACACGTGTAGTTTCAGTTTCTAAATCGTCTAAAACTTTTAAGTTAGATAGCCACACATATGAGAAATATGAAATTGTTTTTCTCTCGTTGCTTGGCAATAATTTAGAAAAATCTTAATTTCAATAAATTTGGACATTTTTGCATCATTAACAACTATATTTGATAACATATCTCAATTCTTTTTTGAGAAAAATTAGGATTATATAATTAGGGAAACATCAGCATGCTCTTTTTGGAAAGACAGCTAACATTTCACTACCCTTTGCATTCGTTTGACTTCACTTCTTAAAAGAGAGCTCCGTCTGTAGTTTAACTAGACTCTACACGCAGGGTAACATTTCACACTTTATTCTTTCCTGTCACTTTACTACATCTTAATTAGAATTATGCAATCTAATGCAGCGTCCCATGAACCCAGCATCCTTCCCAGCATCCCAAACAAGCAATCAATTAACAACAAATAATTGGGCTTTGCGCTTGTTGGATAATCAATTAGATAATCAATTAAAGAACTTGTAACTTCTTAAGCTGTTCACGTTTTTATAAAGGTAATTAAAACATAATTATCTTATCGGTTATTTAAACCGTTATAAAAGTCCATTAAGATAAATTTTCATGTTTTTTTCAAAATGTCGATGTTTGTTTACCAAAAGACAGAATGCGTTTATATAAATATCATATTAAAAAGTAATAGTTTTTATCATGAGAAGTAACTGACAATAATATGTAGACATGTTAATATCAAGGTAGTAGTTTATATGTTTTTATGCATATAAAAATAGACTTATGAAACAATGTTATAAGTAAATAAAAGTAGACTTATGCAATAAAGTAATTTTGACCTTGATCTTTGAACATGACAATGCAATGACGTTAAAAATTTTGAGCTCAAAAATTGCCAGCGTTGCGTCTCGGTCCGACATTCTCCGAAATCGCAGATCCAATTTCTGGTTAATGAAGGCATTGTTTTTTTGTTCTACTTGATTATGGGGCCCATTACATTAAACCTGTTTTACTCCTAGTACGAAGGAGAAATTAACTACCAGGTCAGAATAAAGTCAGACAATGGATAATCTCAATGACCTTGTGTAAGTTCTATGATGGGGCATGGGGCTTCTCGCGACACCTCATGATTCACCTAAATAGAGGGCGCCTGAGGCACGCCCTAGATAGAAGGTGACCCTCAATGTCGAGCCAGCCCCAAATATAAGCACCAACACTGGCGCTCTTTTTGTCTCTGATAATTCTAAAACCCCAGGGCCATTAACAAAATACGAGCAACTAAAAATGTAAAGTGACGCGCCGTTTTTAGGAACAAACAGTACAAATATAATCTTAAAATGATTAAAATCTCAATAGATCTAGCTAAGTGTGTCACGGCCCTAGGCACTTACTACACTTATCTGTTATACTTAGCGTCGACGTTTTCTGACAGAACTGACACTGTCGTGCCAAAGAGACAGCTCGAAGGAACTTCTTGGAGCCCGAGATTAGCACAACAAAAGGAAGGAGAAATTGAATTTGGATCAATTTTATGAATGTCTCAATGTAATGTGGAATTCAATTATTGCTTTATGACTTGGAGATCTTTTCTTATCAGTGTGATGACTTGTCGATGCGTATACACTTTGGAATTCACCATTGCGTATAGTTGTTACATTCTCCCCTCTTTGAAAATATGACTGTCCACGATTTGAGAATTTTGCTATATCTAGTAGCTATCATTTGTATTACCCTACTATCACACCAAACTAGTTCTCACTACGTTCTCGAAAACGGGCTTCAACTGTGTACGAACGGACTGGACCTACTAAGAACCGTTTGGGATCTATTTACAAACCTCATCGAACGTACTCGAACGGGTAGGTCCTCTAGAACTTAGAACATGCTCAAATGTTCTCGTCGTCGATACGTTCTACAATTAGAACGAGTGACAACGTACTAACGACGAGCTGGACGTACTACGAACGGAACCGTCGTACTTCAATCCTACTAGGGACGTTTTAACAACGAGTTGAACTGTCTGAGGACGTGTTGAGAACGAGGTAGAACTAATTGCAAACGGGTTTAAACTGATTAAGAACGTATTTAACACTGCTTATGAACGAGTTAGCAAAAATAAAGCTATCACACCAAATAATGTTGCCACTGCGTTCTTCAAAACTGGTTTTAAACTGTGTGCGAACGAAATGAACGTAGCTGCAACTTTCTAAGGTCTATTTACGAACTTTATGAACGTTCTCAGACGGGAATGTGATTTTAGAATTTTGAATCGATTCAAAATTCGATGGCGACCATACCGTTCTGTAATCAGGTCATGCTGACCTTCTAGACTAAGGGACGCGTTCTACGACGTTGCACACCGACGTGGTGCGACCTGAACGAACTGCGAACGAGATGGACGTATTGAAGACTGTTTAAGAACGAAGAAGCTAATTATTTCAGACATATTTCCCGACCACAGCCAGATTGAGCCCGTTTTACTACGTTTTCGTAGAACTGGCAAGAACAGGTAAGAACTAGTTTGGTGTGATAGGGGGGTTAGGGACAAATAATATTCTGTGTTTATACCTTTTGCTCCAATAGGTTTGGATAAATTATCATTAATTTTACATGAATACTTAATAATCCAGATTTCTTTGGTTAAACGTTTTTAACTGGTAGCCGCATAACTATTATCAAAACTCACAAGAAACTGAGTAGGCTCGGAAAATGTGGCGGAAAACCTGTTCATATTCATCGTGACCAATTCATTCACGCTTTTGATATATTATTTTTAATACTTGCTGGAAAGCGATCGATCTAAGACCTGTTACTATATTTGTGATTGTATTGTGGAATCCATAATTTAGTAATTATCAACTAAGAGGTGTATCTTTTGACATGTATCAATTGCTAGCTGACAGCAAATGTAACAAATGGTTTTAGACCACTTGTTTCAGATTACATCGGATTAACGGTTGGATAGTGGTCTGCCCGAAGTCAAAATTTCAGTTTCGCTCTTCCTTTTCAAATGCAAAATAGTGCAGAAACATATGAAAATATAGAGAAATAAAATTCAAACACATATATAACATTGGTTTTTATTGTGTAGAAGTATCTTACTGTAGACAGACACTCCATAAATGGTCGTGAAATGGGGTGGAATAGGCATGGGGCTCTATCCCTCGGGACAAGTTTTACAAGGGTAGATTGTTCCAATATTACAATGGAATTAGTTAAATAGCACAATGTTAGTCTAGAAGCAGATAATCTCTGACATTGATACCTGAACATGTGGTTAGTTGTGGGTGACCATGGTCCTTAACTCCGTTGGACAGGAGAATTATCACGTTGACTTACTATTGAGTTATTCATGTAGTCTGACCATGTTGAGATTAGGTGGCACGCTTTGTTCGTCAGCATGTCGGGCGCATACTGGTTTAAGTACGAACACTTTTGATTGTTAATTGCTGGGTACTTCTGTTGAGTCTTTTAACCCGATTTTGATTTTAAGAACAAATCTGTGTTCATATCGTCTATTAAAGGTATTTATTAAATTTGTTTAGGGGAGAAAGTTTGACGCGAAACGGTTGGAAGAGTTTGATATTTGACGAAACCGGTGACCAGCGTATTTTATCTTCAGAATGATAAAATAATTAGCTGTTTTGTTTGTTTCATTTTGTTTCATTCATTTTTGTTTACCATTAGATTTTTTGCATGTGAAGTTTACATCATGAAAAATTTACATTTCTTGGTTTTATATCAAATCCAATGAGGTACATTTTCGTGTACAGGATGGCCCAAGAAATTGGAAGGAGAATTTGAAAAGTATCTCAAACAAAATAAGCAAAAATAGAAACAACATTCGGCACCGAGAAAATGCCAGTGGTGGCTAGCCAAAATTAAAACAGTTAGAGAAATCTTCGTCGGGATGATATCAATCTGGTGTTTGACTGAGCCTTTGAACACCCCAAAGCTCTCGTGGGTTCATGGCAGAACTTGGCTGATTTTTCTCTATTTCACTGTTCGTCCAAGTCCCCATTTTCTTCGGTAGCAGTTAGCACTCTCGTCCTGATAATGAGCAAGGACAAAATCGCAGAAGTATTGTTCTATTATTCTATTATTATAGCCCTGGTGTTAAATGCAGTTGTTAATTTTCAATCAAGTTCATTACTTTACTTGATAATTTAATAAGTACTAATTAATAGTAATTATCACCAATTCAAATTGGTACATCACAAAAATTGTTCTAATTTAGTCTCATTCGGGGATATATTTTACATGATTCCTAGGAACCAGAGGAACTATATGATTATGATAATTTTGCAAGGCCTTAGTCAACGCATTTTATTTCCTAAACCAACCAATTTTGTGAATAGGGAAGAGGGAAGGATGCCAAAGCAATTTGACTACATTAAAAAGACCAAACCCATGTTTTGAAAATGTTTAAGCGGGTTCTGCTTAGGGAACATGCAAGCCCTTTCCTTCAATAAAATCCTCTTCTTCATCCAAGAAAAATTAAATGGTAAATTCCTATTTCACAGAAGTTATTTT